AAAAGACTAAGTCCCATCGCCGAATGGGACTTAGTCTCTGCAGCTGAAATAAGGCTGAAAAAAACGGCTGAGAAAAAGACTAAGTCCCATCGCCGAATGGGACTTAGTCTCTGCAGCTGAAATAATTTCCCATTTACTGAACCAAGTGGGAAATAGCAAGGCAGGCACAAAGGTTTTGCACCAGGTCTGGGGACACAGGGGACACCGTCTTAAAGGGGCAGTGTCCCCAACAGAGTCTGGGGACTTTTGGCCTTAAAGGGGCAGTGTCCCAATCACCTGATGTCCCAAAAGGGTGTTTTGAGGCCAGCACCAGTCACATAAAGAGTCCATAATCCCCAATATGCCCACCGACAGTCTTAAAGGGCCATACACACCAAATAAAAGTGCATACATTTTCACAATCTCCAGGGGCCATAGTCATGCGGGAGGAGGCTGGCAAATAGGCTTCTCCACAACCCAGGGAAGCAGGGCAATTTGCCATTTAAAGGGCCCGTTACAAATAGCAGTTTGTAACAAGGTGTCAATCCATATCTGCCAAAGTGACCCTATGTAGGGGGACCAGTCTCTATTCTGCTCTGTGTCCGTGTGCATCAGGGGCTCTGAGGACAGGTGTCAATCCATATGTCAAGGTGTCAATATGTCATATGTCAAGTGTCAATCCATATTGATTGTGATTTAAGAATGTTAGGTGATTTCTGCCCTTTATGGATTAAAACCAGACTCTGTATCAACTGTGTAATTTTCCATGGGAGTTTTGCCATGGATCCCCCTCCGGCATGCCACAGTCCAGGTGTTAGTCCCCTTGAAACAACTTTTCCATCCCTATTGTGGCCAGAAAGAGTCCCTGTGTGTTTTAAAATTCGCCTCCCCATTGAAGTCAATGGCGTTTCGGGCGGTTCGCCGGTTCGCGAACATTTGCGGAAGTTCGCGTTCGCCGTTCGCGAACCGAAAATTTCGGGTTCGCGACATCACTACCTGACAGCCATGCTTTAGATTTTGATTTATGTTCTTCCAAAGCTAAAATCAAAGATTCCATCTAGTGATATTTTATGGCTCAGCTGTATTTTTTATTTTTATGTTATTTTAAGTGATTTCCCTATACACATTTGTTTGCAGGGCACTTGTCCTACTCTTATCCTGCAGCCCTCTAGCCCTTTCCAGGACTTTTTAAGAGGCATTTTTGTGCACAAAAGTTCAGGTGCCCATTGACTTCAATAGGGTTCAGGTTCAGGGTCAAGTTTGGGGTCAAGTTCGAGCCCGAACCCGGACTTTTTTTCAAAGTTTGGCCGAATCGGCCGGACCCGAACATCCAGGTGTCCGCTCAATCTAAAAGTGATAAATAACCACTCTTGATGACCAAAAATATATCTGTCCAATATTTGTATTACTTACCTGTCCTATTTTTACCTGCTGCACTGCAAAATATTAAACTTGTAAATTATTTCCAATTGTGATAAGGTTGTTTTTTTGACAATAATACAGTACTGAGGGTGCTTTACATTGTCAGTGGGTGGACTATCAGATTTCTGACCTTAATGACTTATTGTGATAATCATAAACATGTTGCCATCTCTTGCAGTTTAAAACGAAATCCTCAAAATTCTGAAAATGTAATAATTAAAAGAACAATCCAAACACCTAAAGCACTTTAGTTTTCTGAAATGTTTGTGTATGAAGAGTGTGTCCTCTGTTTCATTTTATAAAAAGCAGATTTTGATAGAAATTAGAACTTTTATTATAAATTAATTCTGTTACTCTCCCTGGCCAGTAACACTTTCTTTGTCAATAACACAACCTGGCCAGTCAGACAACCAATCCTGTTACTTCATAGTAGTTTAGCACAATTAAACCCATAAGGCTGGAAATTAAAGGGATCCTATAGTGCCAGGAAAACAAAGCTGTTTTCCTGGCACTATAGGGTTAATAGGTCCCTCCCACCCCCCTTGGCGCTAAAGGGGTTAAAACCTCTTGAGCCACTTACTAGAATCCAGTGCCGACGTCCCTCTGTGCTGGGTCAGGCTCTGCCTACATCCCTACCCCACGCGCATTAGACCTCCCTATATATTATTCAATGCTTTCCTTTGGGGAAATCTGATGCTGGACAGCCTCATGCAGAGCATCCACCCACTACAACTGCGAGAAGACCAATTCTCAGAACTTCTACAATGTTATGAGCTCCACAATACATGGAGAGAGTTCTGTGCAAAAACACGCAATTTTACCTAATTCTCAGCAGAACATTAGAAATATTCAAGGATAAATCTATGTATGGTCAATGCTACAGCCTTGCAAATATAAACTAATACCAAGATCGGCCTTAATACATGGTCAACCCCTGCACCCACTCTTACCACTTTTACCACACATTTGTCATCTTGGGGTCAGGGACTCTGGCATCTCAATGAACATCTTCTCACTGTGCCTACCATAGCAGACACTATCTTAGAAGCCCTTCTCCAATTCTTCAACAATAAACTTACTTCAGATACTTCCATACCCACAACTTGGCTGGTCCATAATGAAGCTATCCAGCTATTTCTCTCATACTGAAAAGTTTCTTCAATAAAATATAGCTTAACATGTTTCTAAATGTTTTCAACCCATAGTGTTCTTTCAATATCTATATTCATTAATTAGGATCAATAACAAAAAGTAGCTGATTTGCAATACATTAAATGTCCTGTAAGAAAATGTGTTCACTTTATATAAAGCTACTGGTTATGTTAGTTCATTATTACACACTAAACTAATACAGAAAATATGATTTCTACCTCAAAGATATTTGTTAAATTACTTATTGTAGTCTATTCATTTGTCACTACAAGTCAATGAATTAAACTATTTCTCGGCTGGTGTTTTTTTTAATAGCAATAAATGGCTCATTATCCTTTCTTGAACACATTTATGTTCTCAGTAATGTTGGCAAACAGACTAATGAATGTCATTGCACTGAGTGGCATCTTGTAATTGTTGAATTATTTTGATGCAATAATTAGCATGGGTTAGAACAGAGGCTATATTTTTCAAACTAACACTGAAAAACAAAGGGTAAAATCTTACCACCGATATTGAACAATTATACACTTGTTACACAAAAGTGTTCTTTGACATGCTCCATGAAACTAGACGATGTCTACATTTGTCAAATAGGTTTTTAAAGTTATAGAAAAAGCGTGATTTACAATGCTTTAAAATAATACTAATTTGTTATTGCTCTATAATCTACATTGATCCTCCAATATCATATCCATACATAGGATATATACAGTATTCCTATATAATTAAACAATATTATTTCAGAAAATGTTAATTTAATTAATATGAAATAATTCATATTTTATTATAACTGGAAAAATTAAAAAGCAGAAACTAGAGCAGTCTTTGCATGAGATATTTTGCCATAACAATGTATTAATTGTTGGTTT